GCATGCATCAGACTGTGTCAGATGTATAGATTATCTTAGCAGGAAGGCACAATATATTATGAAGTTCGGATGGTGTCAACTGGCATTTGTGCCTCTGAAACAAAGAAACAGTGTGCTGTCCAGTGCCATGCTGTGTCTGTCTGGCCAGTTTTAGTATCTGCCTGGATGGTGCTGGGCTTTGGGCACAGTCTTCAGCTTCATAATACTGTAGTACATGCTGCTTTGCATTTTGCAGTCTTGATCTTTCTCTGCTGGCCTGTAGGGTCACTGTCTGTCACCGGTTTCCAAGCATGTAGTTTGAGTGCACCATTCAGTTGACTCAATAAACTACTCTGTATATTCTTAGCCTGGTTTCCAGACCTCTGAATCACTGCTCACATTTCTAGAAACCCACAGCGGCTCACATACACTCCAGTTTATTAGGTACACTAAAACTAATGTAGTCTAATTCAACAGTCCTTTAGTAAATTCTACCTTCATTAAGTCTGAAGTCTGAGTTTGAAAGAGGTGTTGATTCAATTTTATGGTCATTTTGGCTGCTACAGTTGTAGTGCTGTTGAATTATACTGTGTTTGAAGTGTTTCTATTATTTTTTTTAGTCATATAGTTTTAAAACAGTTTAAACAAAACCATTTTGAACCATTTACTGCAGAACTGTTGTATTAGACTGTATTAGTTGAAGTCAACTTTGATGTTAATAAGGTGTTGGACTCTGATATGCCGGTTTTTCAGCTATAGTAGAACAGTAAAGCTAAAAGTGTGGCCAGGATAGTGTGGCAGGCAGTCCTTTGTTAGGACAGCCGGTAGAATTGAGGCAGAGAGAGCGAAAAGGGTGGAGACAGGAAGGAGCAGGGGAGGAGTAGGGGTGTGTGGGAAGGGGGTCTGAAAGATGTAGTCAGAGAAGGGAAAGGAGAGTGGGACAGACAGACAAAGGCCAGTGCTACTAACCACAGATGGTCATAAAAATGTTCACACCACTGCAACAAATTGCTTCATTAGATATACTCACTTATCTCAATGACCGAGTCTCTTTATCTTTCTTGGTCTGCACTCCACAATTTGTTTTAGGCTTTCGTTGATTAAACGCTTAAGTAATTATTTAGGCTAAAATGCCAAACATTCACTGTTTCCAGCTCCTGTATTTTATAAAATATTTGAATGTACCGTTTATCTCTAATACAAGAACGCGTGTGACCAGGCGAGCCGCCGTTGTTTCCTGCTACGGACGAGTTGAAACTGTGCAGCCAATGAGTGCAGCTCAACTGGCAGTATGTGGCAGCCACTGGCTCGGAAAAGCCGACATAGCGATGGCCATAAGACCAAAGTCGAGGCTTCAAAACGGTATTCCACAAACCAATGAGCGACGTCATGATAACTCTAGCCTAAAGCAGAGATGAATGGCCTACATGGTCTGCTTTCTAACTGAACACCCCCAGATTTTTTTCATTTTCAGACTTGTAGTCTTCAGCCCCAACTGACGCTGCCTCAAGTTACGGGGCTTTCTTAAATTTCTTAAATGTGCTGTAGTACCCCACAACATGTGTAAACAGGCTTTGTTGTGTAGAATTGAAGCACATTTCCTTGAATTGATATAATAATAATAAGAGATTAATCAATAATAAAAATGTACTTGCAGCCCTAACTCATCCTCTCTTTGTGTTGGAGCGTGTAGGTAAAGGCTGAGGGATCATTTCTACAAAGTTAAAATGCAAACAGTTCATATGAATGTTCATGATTTCCGTCATCATTTGCATCTGTATCATGTAACGTGAGAGTCCATATCATTGCTTTGTCTTAATGTGTGCGTGCGTGCGTGCGTGCGTGCGTGCGTGCGTGCGTGTGTGGTAAATGTGAGATGCCTTGCGATGCTATTTGTGCTCCTGACCTTGCAGAGTCAGTGTCTCTTTGTAGTCAGAAGGGCCAACAGCCTGCTGTCTTTATTTGTGTTTTTCTCATCTATGTTTAATACAGTAGCCTTTTCTTTGTCTGGGTGAGATAAAATCCTTTCTTTAGTCCCACCCCCAGCCTCTCTTGCACCCTACAGGGATGATGGTTGTTTGGTTTGTTGACTCTCACATGCCTGGAACATCAAACTGATAATTTGTTTCTCCTATACCAGAGGAACATTGCTGTTGACGTTATTGAACTGAAAGCAAAGCAAATATAACTACCACACAATGTTAGGAAACACTGCAGGATAGAAAGGACTTTGGGTCAGATCTATGATACAGAACCAGTGTTTACTTTGGATATTGACAATGATGTTATTTAGGGTGACTTTAATGCACGCACAGGCCTTGTGATTTGTTGGTGCTGCACATTAATTACTATGAAATTGTCACACAGAGGCTAAAAAAAGAAAATACAGATACTAAGACAAAAGGAGGGAGAAGTAGATGAGAGTTGCATTAATGGACGGGTCAATGGCTATTGGCAGCAGTTTCCCTTCAGGCAGTAATTCTATACTACATGTCAAGGACGAGCATAGGACATCTGAATGAGCTGCAGCCACAACCAATATTTATCAGTGTGTTGCAAACATCCAGACTATTGAAAGCTTCTCCATTCATTCAAACTGTGTCAATGCTCTTGTAATCATCACCTGAAAAAAATCAATACTATCGCCCTTGTTAAGATAAGAGGTAGTGCAGGGCTATTGCATTACATTGTACAGGAATACTTCATAAACTGGTAACTTAGTGTATATGTAAAGTATGGTTAAATAAAGTAAGACACTGCACAGTGTTACAGTGCATGGTCAACTGAAAATAGATGCTTGAGTTATAAAGTTTGCCCATGTGAACGTTTGTGGATGTTTGTCTGCCAAGTGTACACATTTGTGTCAGGAGGCTGTTAGTGCTGGTTCTGGACCTCTGAATCGCTGCCCACATCTCTGATTTGTTCAGCAAGTCAAATAAATGAATGAAGTGAAATGAAGTGGCAGCTTCAATCTGATAACCAGGCTTGACGAACTGGAGAGTGGCCTGACTTGAATAATTTGACAAGATTTTCTTTCGTTTTGAGCTGAGCTGGGGCAGACGTTGCTGTTGCGACATAAATGGTCTGATTTTGGGGCAGCACACGATCTAACAGGAATAGGACGCAAAAACTGGGGCAGTAGTTCAATGTGAAGTTGTCTTGTGTCTCTCAAATGACCATGGATACTCAAATGCAATTTGAATTGTCTGAAAGCATCTCGAGTCTTAATAACACCGGGAATAAGTAATTAATCAGTCCAAAATGGGAGACGGTAAAGTCTGAAGGTAAAATATGTCTTCAAGGTACCTATGCTTAAGTTGTACACTAACTGCAAATCACGAGGCTAATCAAAGCCCCGGCATCAATGGATAGATGGATTATACTGTTGAAACGTAAGGATTATACTACTGTCACTACAGTAGGTCAGATTAGGACATGTTGACCCTGCCACATAGTATGCAGCGATTAAAGCAATAGTCATTACTGTACACAAGGAGAAGCAGCCGAGTAGTGACGAGTAGAGAGATTCTGATGTGCTCAAGTGTCCTTGAACAAGAGACTGATTGAGATTTCAGTCTCTTGCTCAACAGGGGTGCTGTCCTGTGGCTGACCCTAAGGTCTGATCTGATCTTCCAATGGAGCATTTCGCTCTTGGTACTAAATTTAACTCAGTAGTTGTAAATATGTTTTTATTGTTATTGGTACGCAAAAAGGTGTGTAAAGATGTTTTTGTTTTGTCCTGTTGAAGTAGTTGGTGTGATCTCAGCAGCAGTAAGTGAGATCTGACCTGTTACAAATAGACAAAATAGAGTCTTTAGGATATTGCACTCCCCCCTGCTACTGTGGCATTAGTGGTCAAAACCAAAACAAAGGGTTTAAACTTTGTGTGGCTGACTTGTTGGCTGCATATGCACCGGGCTCCCCAGCGAGTCCCCAGGGCTCAGCAGATACCATTCTGCGTGCTCCAGGGCCATAAATCCTCTTTGCATGGCTGGTGATCAAGCCATGATGTAAAGGAGCTTAGTGGCAATAGACAGACAGGCAGGAAGCGGCTTCCCTGTTGGCCAGGGGTCAGGTGATCACACACACAACACTGACAGGAGAGAGAGACAGTGGGTAAGATGTGGACAAACAAAGAGGGAAATAGATGTGGAGAGGTGTATGAATGGTGACACCAGAAGGAGTTTTGACAGAAATTAACAGATGAGTCAGAGTTGGGTTTTTTTTTTTTTTTTTCAAAAGATGGATTTGATTTAATCTGAGTGAAAACACAACCTGTACCTGCTGTTGGACACTTTTTGAAGCAAGTAGTTGCTATATGGACGTTTGTTGACAGCGGTGAGGTTATGTGCCTCCTTTGAGTGTTGGGAAGTTGAGGGGGGCAGAGGTGAGAGAAATGCCTCTTGTTATTGCTGGTACTTGCAAGTAATGTTCATTCTCTTTATCGATTCATAATGTTGTCTATTAAAATGATAGTGAAAAAATTTCTGTTCAAATTTCTAGCAGCCCAACTGTCCAAAACCCAAAGATATTCAGTTTACTTTCATGTATGACAAACAAAAGCATATAATCATTTTAAAAAGCTGGAACTAGAGAGTGTTTGGCATTTTTGCTAGTAAAAGTATTAAAATGATTATCATCATAGTTGCAGATACATGTTTTTTGTCAGTCAACATATAGATAAAATGACTAATTGTTACAGCTTTACTGGTACTCTACTCAACAGGTTGTGGTTAAATATTTTTTTTTTTATTTTTTTTTTTAAAAAAAAAAATTATAATTTTTTTTTGCTGCCATAACTGTTTTGGCAACAAGAAATGAAAATAACCTAATCTATCCACTCCTCTAGGACTTTATCTCACCTTATGTCTGTTTGACAGTCATGTCTTTGTAGTGTTGATGCTGGAGGTCCTATTGTAAACATAAACCATAAAAGTTCTAGCCACAGGAGATGAATGCTACTAGTCATGTTGAATTTTTATCTCACTCCTCTCTCTATCTTTTTCTTCCTCTGTGCACAGGTCACTTTCCTTCCTCCCTTCCCCTCCTCCCCTTCCACCCATCACAGCGCTGGTTGTCATGGAGAACTCGTCGGTGGCATCTGCATCATCTGAGGCTGGGAGCACGCGCTCACAGGAGATAGAAGAGCTGGAGCGCTTCATCGACAGCTATGTGCTGGAGTACCAGGTGCAGGGGCTTCTGGGAGACAAGGCAGATGGAGACTTGGACTTGGACAATGGTGGCAAGGTGCCCCAGGTCAGAGCCTTATTACTTAAATGGATAAAATGCTCTCATTAGTCCCATATCTGTTAGCAGCAGTGGTTATGCTTAGTACAGGTTCTGGTGGTCTCTCTGACATGCTGGCAGCCTACAGCCTGCATCAGAACAGTTGCCCCTATTGTTGTGATGTGTATGTAGACATAGATAAATATGGAGGTCCACCAACCCTGCAGCTGGCCATACAACTGTCCTGTTTTCTGCAACATGCTGCTCATGCTGCTGAGGTAGTTTGTCCACTGTGTGTGTTACTTTTACTTTACTTTTAGGTTTGTTTACACTTATTATTACCCCGATTTCTCTCCTCCAGTGGACAGATGACTGTAACAACAAGAAAGATGGCAGCTGGACGTCTTCACGGGGGAGAGGCTCATTCAAGCCAGTAAGTGTGGATGTCACCATTGTGCTTTTATCACAGCTTAACACCTTGATTAATGAATTGTATAATAATTTACTCTCTAGTTCCCTGAAGGGTTGAAGTGGCAATAAAAATGTTGGTGGTAAAATGTACCCTACCTTCCTTCACAAGGACTGTGATGAATACAAATCCTATCCGTCTCTATCTCAAAAAACAATCCCCAATCAAGTACAGTCTTTACGGCCTTTATTATACAGTAGTGTTTGGACAAAATAAAAAAGGGACTACTGGGGAATTCATTGTTAAAGTATATGTTTAATAATGTTTTATAGTGTTAGTCCCTGTATCAAAAAAACTTTATAACAAGTTTTAAATTACAGGTCAACAGGTTTTCTGCCTTCTCAGAATTTGTTTCCTTCCATGACCATTCTTCCGAGTTGTTTATAAAATCAGTTTTTATCTATTTTCCTCCTCTCCCTCTTTTCCTTTAAACCTTAAATCACTTGCACCTTTCTCCATATGCCTCTTTGCAATCTCCACTGTTGAATTTGTCTATTTCTGTCTCCTTACTTTCTGAGGATGTAATAAGGCTCTATTTTAAAAAATTGGACTGGGTGCAAAATCTGACATTCAGTGTATAATTACAACTATTCTAAATTTACAACATTTGGAACTTCAATGGTAGATAAAGTGGGCCTGTTAAAACAACACAAATGACACTAAAGTGCTCATTGCTGCCTAGTTACTTCCTGGTTTTGTGTTCGACAGATACTATTTGATGCAGCACGTTTCAGAAAATGTCATACGTTGTTCCTCTGAAGTCTAATTCATTCATCTGATCCATGACAGTGTCTCCAGTCTAGGGTTTATTGGTTTAAATGAGCATCACACAAGTTGGTGGTGGTTGGTGTTCTGTAGAAACTGAGAGTAGGGTCTCGTTTCACCCCCATAAAAAGTAAATGTGAACAATATTTCAGAAGCGTTGACGTGCATTTACCCTCCACTAAAGCCCTGATTCTACAGCCACATCCATGTTGTATGTTGTCTTCTGTGCTCATATAGAACCTCTGGTCACCGAAGCATCACATCCATTAAAGCGTAGGTTTGCTCTGCTCTCAGGTCTGTATGTTCGGATTAGTCTTTACCTCTCCATCAGCTGCTCAAGTGTATGATTAGAAAAGACTGCAACACCAGCCATTCATAATTGTCTGCTTGCTTGTGGTTGCTGCTGATAAAGTATGATCTTAATGACGGACATGGGATACTGTGAGGCTGGAGCCAGTAATTGAATAATCCTAAAAGAATTATCAGTCAGTTAGTCTGCTAAATATATATGTGTGTGTGTGTGTGTGTGTGTGTGTGTGTGTGTGTGTGTGTGTGTGTGTGTGTGTGTGTGTGTGTGTGTGTGTGTGTGTGTGTGTGTGTGTGTGTGTGTTGTGTGTGTGTGTGTGTGTGTGTGTGTGTGTGTGTGTGTGTGTGTGTGTGTGTGTGTGTGTGTGTGTGTGTGTGTGTTGCTCTGTTCTGACTGCACAGTCTGCAGTGATTTAGAGTAGTATTGCTCATCAGAGGTTCATTGGTAATTCATCAGATTCATCAGGAAGTGACTGGTGAGGGAGAAACGGCATGGGTGAGAGGTTCAAAGAGAGCAGAGTGATCCCGAATAGTTAAAGAGAGAGACGTGAATTTATATCAATTCATTTTCAGTGCTGCTTTCTGTCTACCCACCCATCTATTTATCCATCTATTTATTTATTTATTTTAACATTTAACTCCTGGCAGTATAACATCCCAGATTTGGCAGTGAAACTAGAGTTTCGTCGACCCTTGAGGTGTGTGTTCCCACGCAGTATTTAGTAAAAGTCTGAAATGACCAACAACAGTCATCAATCCCGCAATAACAGGAACAAACTTGTGCTGATGGGCGCCATCATCTCAGCTCTGAACAGCTATGCTCTGAATTATTGTACTAACCAAGTGCATTGCATTAAGAGCTTTGTGTTTAGCAATAAAATACAATACAGGATGTTGTTTAACCTCCTAACGCAAAACGTGTGAAAGCAGAAGAAATGGCACACTAGCCTCCACTGACAAAAGAGCAGATCAACCAGCTCATGTCATTGTCATTTATTTATAAGGACAAATTCATCAACACTTCTGTAAATGTGCTAGTGTTAGCCAACTGGCACCAAGTTTCAGCTGCAACAGTGCCTTGGCAAGATGTTCTGAAACCAGTGTAGGGGTGGTTAAAAGTTACAGACATAAGACAACAAGACGTTTTAACACACGTTAAAATACATGTAACATTATTATTATTATCAGCTTATGTTAGAGATAAACATCATGGACACACACTTCTGCCAAGCTGCAGTCAGCTTTAATTTGGACCATCCAGTTTTACTGAAACATAAAAAGTGTTGGGAGACTTATTTTATTGTAGCTATGGTTTCAGGGGGACACAGAGGACAGACACTATGACAGAAAATAAAACGCACAGAATTTTGAATAAAACAGTACTCATTACTCAGTCCTTTTCCTCCATCCCCTCTCTGAACTCTGCAGGACGAATGGGAACACAGCAGTAACGGCAGTACAGGTTCCAGGCCCAGCTCAGGGTCTAGACCAGGATCCGGCTCACGCTCCGGCAGCAGGGGCAGAAACAACCAGTTCAAAGGCCCTGCAAAGGTACAGATAAATCTGTGTGTCTGTTTGTGTGTATGTTTATCTGCTGTCTTGATCACCTCTGAAAGAAATGAAAGGAAACGTCTTGGAGAGACTTTGAGGGACCGATTTGGCTACATCTGGCACTTGACTTTTAACCATGCTCATTGTATTGTTCCCTTGGGAGTCTTTAGTCATCTTGTCCACAAGCACCACAGCATGTCACCACAAACCAAATCTTCACCCTCGTTAAAGGATCAGTGTGTAGGATTTAGTGGCATCTAGCAATGAAGTTGCAGATTGCAAACAACGGAAACTCCTCGCATCAACCAAGCATGTAGGATAAACCACAGGGAAAATCTAGATCCATTCTAGAGCCATTGTTTGGTTTGTCCATTCTGGGCTATTGTAGAAACATTGCTGTTGAACATGGCATGGAACACAGCTTTCTCTGTATATAAAAATCACTAATTTTAAGGTAATGAAAACCCAACGATTCTTTTGTGATTCATTCAAGTGATTATACACTAATGGAAATAATGGATACTTATGTATATTATATTGAATTTCTGCCAATAGATCCTCCTAAATGTAACACACTGGACCTTTAAAGCCCCCCTCCAGCCAGTTTTAATTGACATTTCTGGTTAATGTTCTTTCCTTAAACAGAATGGGCGTGTGGTATAGTCAGATATTCATATATGCCATAGCAACAATATTGCCATTCCAGCGTGTCAAGAAGGTCAACATCATTAGCATGACTAATAATAACATGGATAATAGATTTGATGCTTGTTTTGACACAGAGGTTGTAAATGTATATTCATACACATATGACAGACCACAAACTTATATGTAGCAGATGAAGACACCAGGAACATACAAGGATTAGAAAATGTACAGTAATGTAGGGGTGTTAGGAGACCCAGATGGGGAATTGGCCCAAATATAGATATACTATCTATAATATATCTGTGATTAAAACACGTCATTATTCCACATGTTTGTCAGTTGTGTCAAGGGAGCGAGAGACAAGCAGATACAGACACACACAGGCAGGCAGGAAAGAAGCCTACTTACTTATTTTAATTAAAAAGTAATCCACTTTTTAAGAATAGCAGTTTAAAAGTTTAAAAGCTTTGTAGTCATACTGAAACATACTAACATACTTTCCTTTTCCTTGTGTGCTGTCTAGAACGGGAACAGAGATGGCTCCTTTGACATCCTGGGGACAGATATATGGGCAGCAAACACAATGGACTCACACGGGTAGGTGCCTTGCTGTCCTATTTCTTTCAGTCGCTCTTCTCACCGTCTTTGACTTCGTTTCAGCCTGCTCAACCTGACGAACCTTGCTCATCTGTAGTTCTGTTTGTTAATTTGATGTCAGCTGTCCAAATTTCTAATTTGGTTTAGCCTCATTAACACGAAACCATGTTTCCCATCTTTAATTTTAAAGACCTAGATAATTGCTGGCCTTTATTGTGGGTATCAAAGGAACAGATATTAACATGAAATACAATTAGGATCATCACATGACAGCCAAGATGAATTTTAAATTAATCAAGAAGCTGCACTGCTAAATAGTGATTTTGTGCTGATGATGAGAACTGTTTTGTTATGTCTTTTCTGCCAACAGCCACATTTATATTATATCTAGCTAATGGAGGCTCGTCTGCTTCCTCTGTAAACATTGAGCCTCAGCGTTTGAAATCTAGTTCTAGTATCATCTGTATGACTAAAGGATCTTTCAAACAAGAGCTACATATCTATCTAAAGTTAGAGGAGAAGGAAAGGAAACAAGTGAGACATAAATCAGTTACAGTGGAGGGAGGAACAGGTTGCCATGGTAACAGCTGCACAGCAGCTTCAGTTCCGGCCACGTTGGCACGTCTGAGCACAGAGCGAAGGAGCCGGCACAGTAGGATGATGTAAGCAACTCTCCCTGCGTGCCCACAGAGGTGAAGAGTAGCATGGATTGAATCTTGAATGAAAAAGGACATTGATGACTTTAATTAGGAAATGTTTATGCCCTTCTATTTAAAGCCTTACAATTGAAAGTTTTGCTATGGCTCAGGGCCTCAAAAAGAAATTGTTATCTGTTGGTTCAGTTTTGGTAGAGTTGGTAGGTCAGCCATACATTGTAGTCTTACAGTATGGGACAGGTCAAATAAACATTGTCTGTGGACAAAGGTGTAAGCCAAATGGATGTAATATTGTCTTTTTTAGGAGCAATTCAACATATAATCAGTAGAATAACACCTATTGTTAAAATACCACAATACAGCTCTGAAGCTTGCTAAAAAATGTTTGTTCTGTTTGTCAAAGCTTTTGTGCCTCTCAAGTTATTTATTTTTTGGAAAGAACAAACATTTTATATGTATTTTATGCAGTTTTTGTATCGAAGTGAATAAAGTCAATCTTGTCCACCAGCCTCATCTAGTGGTGACACAAGTCTATTGTAGCATCATGTGGTCAGTGATTGATAGATCCTTTTTATTAAATGTAGCTGTCCCCCTACACCTCACCACAGACCTGACCTGTGTTTGATGTAATTTAAAGCAAATGAGTAACAAGAACAAATTCCATGATAGATGGTTATCTAGCACTGCTCAGACACTCCATTACCTGCTCTCTGATGTAATACAAGATGACCAAGATGATTATGATGATCGGATGCTGTCTTTTCTTGTTTTTCAGCTGTCTCTAACCTTAAATCTGTCTTTTTGTCTCTTGGTTATAGAGGTGCAGGTTGGGACGTGCAGCCAGAGAAGCTGGACTTCAGCCATTTCCACAGGAAACACCTCAGAGGAACGCCAAAGCACCTGCCACACATTGACAGAGAGGGGTAAGTTCTGGGCTTTGGATCTTAGGTTTTATCTACAGTATGTGGTTCTACTGGTGCTGCCTGTCTCAGTATTGCTTTGATTATCCCATATTGTCTCAGTTATGTCTTTAGAACTGTCCCCTATCACTTTTTGATCCCTGATGGTTACAGTCTGTTGATTCTCTCTCTCTCTCTGATGCGTCCTCTCTTTCAGGATGAACAAAAACAAGTTTGAGGAAGATGATGGCATAGACATGAATGACATAGAGAGGTTCCTACCCCATCTGCGCTCTGTAAGTCACACATTTTTCTCTTTTTGTATAACTAAATGCTTGTATGTAGATTGTTTTCTCACTCTGATATGTAACCTGTTTTAATATACTCCTTTTTACTACACTAGCAGCCTTGTGTATTATGGTAAAACAGTTATTGTGGCGATAACACTGATTTGACCCAGTGGACGATGAACTACAGACATAGTCTCTCACCAAACAGCAACCTAATAATTTATTAGTTGTTAGAGAGCGACCCCTGTTGGCGTAATAGAATAATAACACGTGTAATGAACAGAGCATGGGTGATGAAGTCAGGTCCATGCAAAAATCACCAGAATATGAAACATTACAGCAAAAAAAACTAGCAGTGATCAGCATTCCTGCTCTAGAAGAAAAATCTGTCTTTTCTGTTAAAGAACAGTTAATACATATATTATGTATTAACTATGTATAGATTGCATTTATGTTATGATGGATAGGAGACTGTTTGATTATAAATGAGCCTTTGGTGACACCTTCTGGTCACATGCTGAAGTGAGTTGGACCTCAAAAACTCAAAGTGCATAAAAAGGTTACAGTGACCCCTGGTGGTTAAATGTATGCATAACAATTACAGGTTGAGTCACTGAAGCCTATAGCAAAGTAATGTAGGTGGTTCATTTCTGAGGCAGTGGCTGTTTCTCAATCAAATTTTAAGTACACATTTTTTGACAAGTGTATTTCAAAATAATACAAACATCACACACAAAAATGTGTTCTATAGTTCAGCCTGAAGCTAATATGAGGCTATTGTAGTCGGAGTTTGTCTATTGCACTGTGTTTCAGTGGATAGTTGGTAAAAGAAAGGGCAAATTTTGTACTTAAATTTGTACTGAAAATATTCGCTTAATCTGGCTAACTCAGACTTTAGGAGACTGGCTGAAGGATTGAAGATACAGAAATTATCTAGTGAGCATATATGCCCTCTCTGTACTGTACATACATTTTATAGTCTCAAGCTATTTATATAATGTGTCTGGCATCAACAAAGGGGAAAAATTAATTTTGCAGCTGTGTATACTATCGCAGGCCACAAGGTATTAAGCATTGTGTTTTCCAAGGTGATTTGTGATTCATTGGGGTGGCAGAGTTCACTCTAGGTCACCGATGTCACCCTCCTCTCTTCCTTCCCTGCTTTCTGAGCCAAAATGCCTTCCATCTTTCATAGCGTTCGAGCTACAGTGTCTTCCTCTTTCCTTCCCCTCTTGGCTCAGAAACTGAGCTACGTTTCGCCTCTGCTCGAGTTTCAGCCAAAATGGGCCTAGTTGCGCTACCAAGATGGCTTCCTCATTGTATAGTTCTTGAGCCAAGATTTGCCGTTTCCGTTCATTCAGTTAGAGCCAAAAGAAAGATGGGGTCAACTGCGTTTGTCTGGTGTGCTTGAGATCGGATATGTGTTGGCACTGGGACACAATAAGGTCAGAGACACAGAGTTGAGGAATGATTGCCACATTTTCTGTCTTTTGTCTCCTTCACATTCCTTAGCTGTTTCTGACTTCAGTCATTTTCACACAGTCTATCTTCCACATTCTGTCTGTGGTGGGTATTATGTGGTGATGCCAGGCCGCTGATGCCCAGTTGTTTCTCGTTCCAATGAGGCCAACCACTGATAATACCGTCCTTGGTCCGGGATAGCCCCCAAGACAACTGGAAGGGCACTTAAGTTTCCAATTTCTACTTCTAGGGCCAGTAGTTTTAGACAGACCACACTGTAACATAAAGCACTCAAACCACAATCACTGTAGACATCAGTTGAACGGAAGTGGAGTGGTTTGCAATCAAGAGTATGGAGCATCTCCAGAAGTTATTTGTTGTGTCTAGTCAACCCTCCAAGTTTCAAAGCTAATTGTAACCTGTATTAATATTAAACGGATGAAACATTAATTGCATTTTAAACCATTAACAAATTTATTTGTCTATTGTCATTTCTGCACTGCTACTGCTTTCTTATTGTATGTGCAAAGTGCAGCAGAGTTATATAGGAAAATATTAGTATTGGACTCGTACAGAGTGTATGGGGAGATACTGTGTGGTAAATGACTCAGATCACACTTTGCAGAATATGCCATGGAATTTGTGGTGTGGTGTGTGTCTGTGTCTGTGTCTGTGTGTGTGTGTGTGTGTGTGTGTGTGTGTGTGTGTGTGTGTGTGTGTGTGTGTGTGTGAGAGAGTTTGTTTTGTATTTAGAAAATGTTTTTACTATGGTTTGCTGCTTTGAATTGATACTGGATGTGCTTGTGTGGCTGTGAAGTTCTCTCATTTCTGCTGGCACTTTCAGTTTTGTCATACGAACATGTCCCTTCTCCTTACTATAAGTAACCAGTACAATAGTGGCAGGGGATTTTTACTTGTTCCTATTTAAACACATGGAATGCAACAAAGTACATTTACTCAAGTACTGTTAAGTACAGTGTACTTTACTTAATTCATCTTTATTTCCTTTTTATGCTACTTCAAACTTATTGTTTCATTTAAATATAACCTGGGGCTGGACAAATAGGTTTGGGAACCACTACCTGTAACTGTATATAAAGTAGTTAAAATCAATTGAAATGATCTATATACTATCTATAATATAATATATAGTAGTATATCAGTGACAGAACCACTACTTTTACTTTACTATACTTTAAGTACATTTTGCTGTCAAAACCTCTGTACCTTTAGTATAGTATTTAGTTAGTATGAATTTGAATGCAGTAAGGATCGAAGTACTTGTCCCACCCTGGACACAAGGTCAAAGCTTTACTTGTGCATTGTGAATGTTTCTAAGTACATAATCTTAAACATGAAAATAACCATCCCACTTTTATACATTCATAATCCTTGTAACCAAACAAAAACAGTAACACGTCTGTTTTACCCCAGTCATCACCTCCAGCTACTGTACGGCAGGGCTACATCATCCAAAGTCCCCGTCTACGTTCCACACGTCCAGCCAACATTCACTTCCCCTTTCCAGGAGCCAGAATAGACTTACAAATAGCCCCGGGATGTGGAAAACATCTCGTTTGTGTGTGTGCGCGTGTGTGCGCGCTTGCGTGGGTGTGGGTGTGGGTGTGCACGTGCGTGTGTGCGTGCGTGCGTGCGTGCGTGCGTGCGTGCGTGCGTGGGTGTGTGACTCGGTGAGAAAGGGCTTCCTCCTCTTGCCCTCAGATTCTGCTGCACCTCTACTGGCCTCTCTGGAATTTAAACCTGCGCATACAATAACCTTGCCTTCACGTCCAGTGTCAGGTTGTGATGGCAGAAGCATTCAGGGGTCAGAGAGCCAAACAGCAATGTGTGAATGATATCAAACATAAACGTGTGTACAATTTATAATGATAATTATAATATGATAGTAATAAAACAAATGACAAGTGACAAAAGTACTTTACACAAAATGAACAATTAAAGATGATACAGTACTGAAATAAAATAAATGAGGCAGAAAACACATTTTAAAAAAATTTAAAAATATAATACGTTTTTTTAAAACTTTGATCCAAATTATTCCAAAATATTGATAGTGCAGTCGATAAAAATGTGGAAAAAGAGGCAATTTAAAGAATCACAGTGATTAGTGTGTCATTTCAGAGCCAAGGCATGAATCATTTTTATAATAATAATAATAATAATAATAATTTATTTTAAACACGTAGTAAACTGTATTTTTTTCAGTAAGAAACAGACAAAACACTTTTTTTTCAAGGGTTTAATTATAAAAAGTTTACAGATTGGGTAACCTAGCTGATTTCCTGTTGCCCTTTGTTAAGTGGATGTGAAATGTGTCCCAGACATCATCCCTCCAATTTGCAGGCAAAGGCAGTGTCCTTGTTTAGTAATGGCCAGTTGTAGTCCCATAAACCAACACAGTATCAAGAATAAGAATATTATTTATAACAGTTCCAGATATTAAATGACAACAACCAGAATTTATTATACACAATAATATACAGATTTATGATTAATTAACTGATGTCTTGTGTTTTAAACTCGAGCTGTAAGAATATTACATTTTCCAAGTAAAGTGATATATGACCAATTTAAGCCACAAGATAAAATTCATCCCAAAGAAAGAGTCCAGGTGATAATGCAATATAGTCTAGGGCTGTAAGTAAAGATTGTTTTCATTATTAATAAACATACCTATTGTTTTTTCAAATATCACAATTCATTATTTAGTCTATTAAACACCATGAAACTGAAAAATGCCCATCAGGATTTTCTAAAGCCAGAGGCAACATCATCAAACAGTCGATTTTTTTCTGACCAACAGTCCTAAAAACACATTGAAAATGGATGACAACTTTTTGTCAAATTTTAGTGATGGCTTCCCCAGGAGACCGGAGATTTTCTATACCCCCTTCACCATTCCCTCCTTCATGACACATACTGTACTGTTGCGTGGACACTCGATCTCACTCACATGCTGTTTGGCTCATCAGCACGATCATGTCAGCATGATCCTCAGTGTTGTGACAGCCACAACTTATGTGCATGTGTGTGGGTATATGTGGGCGTTCTCAACGCTTACTGTATCTGAAATAATGCCAGCAAACGCTTGCTTATCCACACATCAAAAGCTTTTGTGAGTATGTGTTAAAGGCATGCCATTTATTTTGATATAACAAATCTCAAACATGTTTGTGACAAATGTGTTACCAGTTAGTGATGGACACACATCTTTCTAGACCCATTTTGATAATGTTTTGTATTTCATCATAACACTCTTACCTGTGGGAGTTTTCTCATCTGAAATCGAGTGGGTGCTTCTGTTTCTGTACAAATAGTATGACTGTTGTGACCTGATGTTCTTTCCCATGAGATAATATATTGGCTGCCAAGATCAGTAATGGAAATATTCAGATCATTTACTTAACAGCAACAGTAATAATACGTATATAAGTATTATCAGGAATATATATATTTAAAATGATCAAAAGTAAAAGTACTCAATGCAGATGGCCCCTGTGAGTGTATATAGTATATCTAATGTA